ACATGGCTCCCCAACCCCGTCAATTACATCATGTTCATGCGCCGTCCTGGTCCAATCGTAGATCGGCTGTGCGCAGCTGGTGTACCTCTCCGAGTTCCAAAAGAGAGCTCCCCAACCCATGGACCGATGGATGATACAAAACCTGAACCTGGGAGCTACAAACCTGGAGTTCCAAAAGCTAGAGTCTGTCAAAGGTTTCTGGGACATCCGCTGACTAGGACACGGGCTGGAATCAAGGAGCCTATTCTATCTAATGATCAGAAATGAGCGTAATAAGCATCATAATGGTCGAAACATGTCAAAACCACATGCAAACTCATTAAGTTCACTAAGTTCAGTTCATAAGCAAGGATGACACACTTCTGACCTTTCCCACTAACAGGAAACAAATTCCTCCAGTTCTGAACAAACTACACCCACTCAAAGCTCGTGCCCAAATCCCAAATCGTGTTTATGGACTGTCATGTTTCTTTGTTTCCATTGGGTTTCATCGAGAATTGGTCAAATTAAATTTAGATCATTGTTAATTTGAATTTGTATCTACGCACCAAGAGATGACTTGTGTGTTTTGTGCCGCATCAATCTATGTCTGCTCACCTATACTAGAAAAACACGTAGAAGACTTCATGGCCTTCTCGCTGTGCCCTACAAAAAGCACCCACGATGCGAACGACGCGGGAAACGCGAAACGGATCGGCACCCAGCAGGGCGAAACGGCGCGTAGGGAGTCGCAGGTGCTCCTGAAGCTTGGCGAACGCAGGTGCGAACGAACACCAGTACTTATCTGGAGATGTGGAGTGCAACCTGCCAGAAACACCAGTCAGCTACAAGGTGGTCAGGAAAATAAGAGAACAAACTATATACCAAGTTTGAGGAGGTCCAACATATCAGGGTTTGAGAGGTTTCGGGCACCAGGTTTTGACCCACAGGTCAACATCAGCGTAGTATTGGATGTATTTGATTCACTAGGTCCACATATCAGGGATTCGTTTACAGTGACTTGATGCACCTTCTGCAGCCCCCCCAGCCGCCTAGCCGCCCCTCCTCGATACCGGCCAGGCGACAGCATCGCCATCGGCGCGGCGCGGCTGAGCCGTTGGTAGCCGTCTGGAGCCCAGAAAAAGCAGGAAAACGGCTCAGGACTCACTCCAAACGTCCTCTGGGTCTGTTGCATCTTTTCAGGATCATTAGGACTCTAGGACCCTTGGGCTGTGGTTCCAAAGGAACATCGATGACACGTTTGACACGATCGAACGGTCCTTCTGCTTGCGCTGTATGTTCTAACGGTGTGCAGCCAACAGAAAGACACATCAAAACAAGGATGAATGGTCTCAACTCCATCGAAGAAGAATGTTTGGGGCCATCATTGATTATGCAGCGAGACTACGTAGACCTGAAATTCAGGGATTCGCCTTTTCCTGCCAATCACATATGAACTCGTCATACCTTCTCTCTTGCCACATCTTTCCATTCAGTGCAGTGTGTCGGAACATGAACAAGAAAGAACTCCATCTGTCTAGAAAGATCCACAATCTCTGTCTGTGGTGGTCAAATAATATATTAGTAACTTTTATATGTTGCTCACATTCACTAGATCTGTCCTTCCATGAGCTTCGGCACGTCTGTCCTGCCATGCACTTCAACCACCTGCACTCAATCCAAGGTCCCTGACCAACTCTCCTTACCTCAAATACCCTAAACCATTCCGAGCATTGCAAAACCAAACGCCGGTCCATGGCACCTGAATGCACCTGAACACCTCAAGGCTCCGGTCTGGCAGCTTTCACCAGCCATCCTGGTGGCCCCCCTACCACCCAAAACAACCACCTCGACAGAGTCCTTCCTTTTGGGGGTGAGCTATCGTACGGCCAGCGGCGCGGCGCTTGCAGCCAGCGTCACTGGTCATTTAATTGGGCCGGAGATCAAGGTTTCCCCAAGTCGGAGGGCCGGAAATGGAGTGAAGTCCTTGTAAAGAGTGAGAAATCGTGAGCCACCTTTGGGTAAACCATGTGGATCCATGTGCCACATGTTGAAAGCCTTTGCCTTTCGTATCCCTTCATATATCCCAATATATCCTTTCCATCTATCAAAGGAACGAGACGTTGGATGTTCACAGGTTGTGCCGATGAAGAACAGCAACCCACCCAAATTCGCTCCTTCAGTGCCCCACGGACCTTCCAACAAGAAGGGGCAGCTCCCTAGGCTGAAGATACAACTTCAAGTTCCTGCCTCCTTCCCTCCTGTAGGCTGAGCTCAAGGCCACCAGGCCCAAGCCCTTTATGGTGATTGAAGGAAACACATGCATCCACAAGTATCTTGGGAGCTTCAGAAGATACGGGAATTGCCATGCCTCTGCAAGAACTGCCTCACAAACAACTAAGTTGGGAGCATCCGGAGATTTTGGAAATGCCACTCCGCTGCAAGAACTGCCTTGGTAGAAAGGTTGGGGGTTGTAGACAGCAAATCCTGCAACGATTTGGCTATATATACCTCAAACTACAATACATCCACTCGAGACTGTATGTGAAACACAAACCCAAAATATATAAATTATTTTTAACTATTGGTTTCTAGTCTGCCTTTGTCTACCCTGAGAGTATGCATTTGGCTTTCTTCTTCATCTTGAGCACCTTGCCCCTGGCAACTACAGCACACTCACGCATACTTACGTCGGCTCTCTCACACTTGTGTGTTTCATCTTTGTGTATGTGTAGAAGCACCCCAAAGACAAGGACACACACACAAAAAAAAAAAAACATCACTGGTACCAAAGGAGGTTATTGAATGCATGTGGGATATGTTGGTACTTGGTAGACACCAAAGTCTTGTATTCTCTCCAATCTCCCTAGAAACAGCCAGTCAAACGTTGGGGGGGAGCCAGTCACTCGGTCTCATGTCACTGTGCCGTGACCGGTCCGTCGTCCGACGTCGAAGCGTTGTGAAGAACGAATGGGATGGTCCTCAGTCTGCAGAAGCGGATCGTGAATATATGGGATTGTTTGTTTAGACAGTTGCATGTATTTCACGTCACGTCTGCTCTTCCATCGGCCGCCGCCGATGCCTTTGGTGAGAGCCGCCGTAAGAATCTAATGCGTGTTCGTGCTGTCAGCCGCCGCCCATTGCAGCGATTCTACATGCGACGGGGTCACACGCGCACACACCTTGCTGGCTGTATACTAGACCCGGGTGTGGGTCCTTCTGGTTGCCAACATCTCATATAGCCGCCCTCACCACAAATCAAAGGGGTCTGACTAACGCACCTGAGCTTGGTATCTGGAGCCCACTCAATAGCTTTGCTCACACAGTCAACCTTGACAAAGCCAATCTGACTTGAAGGCTCTGGGCAAAGCAATTTGGCAAAAGCATGGTCAAAAGGATGGTTCGTAGGTAGACTCTTTTTGGGGTCTTCTAGTATTGAATAGCTCAGACCTGGGCCGCATGATACAATTTGCTGGTCAGCAATCAATCCCGAAACCCAGACCCCACTCGTTTGTCAAGGAAATCGCCCATCTGGGCCGGTCTCTATAGCTTCTATGAAGTCCCATGTCCTTGGATTCGCAGATGCTCTTCCTGGACTCCGAGCGCTTTTGCTCACCGCGCAGCGTCGAGCGCTACAGCGGAGTGCTGCATTTGCCGCGGGTGTGGAGGCCCAAACCGTCGAAGGATACGCCTGACGAAATGGGTTGTGGGGGGTCCTGCTAGCCAGTTTATAGGTATGACATGGCGGTGCCAACCTCTACATATAGTCTATTCACTGGCTATCGTCTGGGACATGAGTATACGCCAGTGGATATGGACATCTTGCAGTTCAGTGTGGATGACAGAACATCTTTTGCGCGGTCGACCCACAGGCTGCTCCGCAGCTCGCGAAAAGCGCATCTCGCGGTGCTCTGCAGCTCCGCCAGTGCAGCCGAGTGAGATTTCAGGCGTTCACTGCGCTTGCACCTCGTGGGAATGGCAAGGGAATCAGTGAAGCGAAGACAAAATGATTATCTTTAAGCTGTCTTTTTCAGTTTAAACGGTTATTTGACTATTTGACATGGTTATTGGGGAGGACAATAGTTGGATAATGTTGGATATAAATCAATAGCACTTGGACAGCATAGGCTGCGCTATGGATAAACCATGATAAAGCAAAAGAGCTAGTGAGCTAGCTGACTCATTGTTCCTCAGAGAAAGCGCTTGGAAGCCTAATCATCGGAGTCCAACAAGCTTTCAGCCAGTGCGCTCTTTCTGTGTGGATGTGGGTCAAAACTAAATGCAAAACATTGCAAACATATCAAACATCAATTCCCATACAGTACGCAGTATGATGTATTTGCAAAGATTGGACAAATGACAGACCTCCCCCCGTTTTTTGAATTTCCTAAATGTAGGAGAAGGTCCGAGAAGGTGTCCTATTTCCTATGTGATTCCAGAAGGCGGCTGAACGTGAAGCACATCGGAAAAAAAACAAGTGAAGCCGGATCTTGCATACGGGTTTGCGTGATTCCACTTCCACTTCCACTTCCTTCTGCTACGAAAGCCATCATAAAACCCAAGGACGGGAGTGGGGAAAGGCCTATTCCAGAAGGCTGCAGTTGGGTGTCCTGTTATGTCCTGTTTCGGGGGATGACTTAGCTGTCAGGAGCCACACAGAGGGTTGAGCCAAGCGTTGGACGGCTCCTGCATCATTATCCGCTGTTGTAACTTTGTATCCAAAAATGATTCTCAAGTAGGCGTCAAACCAAAGGATATCAACATTTGCTTAGCTGGTTGAAAACAATTAGAGGTGTCACTTTTGGAGGCAATGCTACCTGGTTCCAATGCAGCCCATAATAGCTTCCCTTTTCCATATTCAGTCTGACCGCTTCATAATACTCCGCACATGGAGAATCCTGATTGACTACTCCCCCCCAGTCTCACTTGCTCCTTCTTTATCTTCCATCCTGCACTAGAGAACGTATTCCCCGTGGCAAGTAACGCCTGCGAAACGCCGCACCAGAGAACGGGACCACGTTTCAGCGTTCGGCCCAAGTGGTCGGTTCGCTTACCTTTGCGGCTCGAAGAGAGAAACCCGTTGTTTGCCGTTCGGCCGTTCCGTGATCTCGGCAGATCTTTTGACCCACTCAGTAGAGTAAATGATGGGCATCACCAATCTCCAATATAGATTACTCACCCCCCATATGAAGATGAAACGTGATGACTATTCTGGGTAGTAGTGTATTGATCAACAGTCACCATCAACCACCCTGCTGGAACACTTTGGTAGGTCTGTCAGAAAGGCTTTTGGGGAATCGAAACTGTGAAACTGTGATTGGCTTTTGATATTGGACATTTGACTTGACTTGATAGCATGTCGATGAAAGCCAAGCGCATCCAGTTCAGTCAGGGTGAACCCTGTCACGTGTGTGGCTCAAGATCAAAAGGTCGGCAGCGCGGCTGATCTTTTTCCTTTTTGGCATCTAACCGTTCACAGGTTATGAGCCCAACGCCGGGCGTTGGTTAAGGATCCAGGAATGGATTGGCTGGAGCATGTGGCATGCCATGGGCGACATGGAGCATGTGACAAGCTGTGGGCGGCACATGAGGCGTGACAAGCAAATGGGCGGTGCTCAATGAGGGGAGGCATGACAGCTACTGGCAGCTACTGCGGTGTGCGGGGTGTGGCAAGCTATGGCGGCATGCAGGATGTGGCAGCTATGGCGGCATGCTGGGGCTGGGTGCCTAACAGCCAGTGCGGTGGCTCATGCCCGGCGACCCAGCAACAAAGACGCGAGGTTGGAAGCTGTGCCATCATTCATACATGCAACCTGCAGCATGGTGTAGTCTGCAGGTTGGAGGGGAGTGTGAAAGGTGATGTGCACAGCCCTTAGGGTGCACGCGTCATGCCACAAGAGGTAGTCTGGAAGTGACTATGCTCGGTGGTATGGGTGGGCAAAGGTTCACGAACCGCAGAAACAACTGGGACTTTGATGCGTCACATGGAACAATGCATGACTGCACATCGCCCAAGGTGACGCACACACAGAAACACAACACATATTCTGAGGAAATGAGTTACAAAGGTTCCGGCGAACCCGAGTGCAACGGAACCCTGCCGAGTAGAATGGACTCAAAGATTCCAAACATCTTTGACACCAACCAACAACAACATCAACATACAACAACACCTGCACTCAAAAAGGAATTAAGGCGCAAGACTACATTGCTTTACGGTTCCACTCAGCGAACTGGACTTGTCCTTGTAAGTGGGTTGAGCTCCCAAAGTCTTTTCCTTCGTGCCTGCCCAAAGCTGAACTGGGGTTCTAAGAAAGCTGTCTCCTACCCTTGTGAATCTCATGGCCATCCCCACCGAGAAAAAACAGACTGAGCGAGCGCCCCTGGAATCGATCACCGATGACTGAGAAAGACCGATGAGCCCAAGGCGTAGACGGAGACCGACACCCATTCCATACAGCCCAATTCCAAGGTGCAAATGGACCATACAAATACAAACAGCATCAAACCGCAAGGAAAACGACCATAACCAAAAGAACATCATATATGGTGCAAATAGGCGTGAAAACGTGGATGTCAAAACCGTCTCCGGTGAGTCCCCGGGCCGTTGTGGGCGGATAGTTGGTCCCCGGTGAGTACCTGGAGAGCGACAAACAGCGCGAGCGCCGCGCCGGGCGCGACCAGCCGTCCTGCGACGAGCGACAGCTCCTGCGGAGAGTTGGATGCCAAGCGATGTAAGCACAGCCAATCCCGAAATCACACGCATATATTGTCTGTCACATGTGTTTGTGTTGTTGTTTGTTTGTGTCTTTGTTTTGTTTTGTTTTGTTCAGGAGTTCCGGAAATCACTGGTGTTTGTTTAGGACTTGTGTTAGCACTCGAAACCCATCGCCCAGGACCCACGACCCCAGGACCAGCTGGGGAACTGCTTCCTGACGACGTCAAGGAGTTGACGGTCGACTTCTTCGTAAGTGAACCCTCCCAAAAATGGAGATGTCACACGGTTCTGGTAGCGATTTGCTTTGTAAATCATCTGTCTACATGGTATGTATGCGCCCGCGCACACGGTGTTCATCGCATCTGTAGCCACATCTGGTGAACTTCAGGACTAGCATTCATTTAGGTATACATCCGGGGACGATGACCCCCATTGGAATTGGAAGCCAATCGCATCCAATCACCATTTTCTTTGATGTGAGACCTGGAATAGTATTCTCTGATTCCACCAGCTTGGGAATTTGAAAGGCATCCAGCTAAATGACACAAGCCACCCGTCACTGTCCATCAAATGATTTGGTTGTTTCGATCATTCCCGCTGACGTAGCAGAACGCCTTGCCAGTACAGCTTCGAGAGGCTGCATTATACATGTATACAATTGCGACCAACATGAGTAAGCCCAGTGCAACAAGTCGTTCTCATCGTATACCAACCATCCGTGTCCACGCCGGCGCACGCCGAAGGGACAGGCCTGGCGGTCAGAGAGAACTGACTATATAATAAGGCTAATAAGGTAGACTCAAGACCATAGCACCATAGCATGCAGCTCCAAGAAGAGTGGCCTTTGACACCGTGCAGGAAATCCTGAACACAGGTCTTCACCCAAGTGTTGGACCATTCACCACGCACCATGCGACCCAGCATCACCACTCAGTCGTCCCTGCTCTTCTAGCCCTCAATTGGAAAGCTCAGGTTTCACAAGCTTCGTGTTCAAAACACTTTAGACTTGAAAACGACACCTCTTCCCTAAGATTTCAAGCCTTTCAGGCGCGTGAGGGAATCAGTTCTCCCCCTTCTCCCTGACTGTTTACCCACCGTCTGAGACGTCTCGTCGACCTGAATTAAATTCAGTTCTCCCATCTGCAAAGAGTACTAGATCCGACTCATTTACAAGTCGACACTCGGTGGTTCCGATCTCACCACCTTGGTTGGACAACTTACAATTCTGGTTTCAACAGCGGACCAAGTTAGGCATGGTGTTGATATTGTGTTCATATTTAACTGTACTGACCCATCAAGTAAACACAAACTGACGCAAACTCGTGAACAAGGAATTTCTAGATTGGACCATGCAACTCCACACCAAGAGATTTCCAAAAGAATGCACCCACCATTGCCCATCGATCGATCTGGCACAGCTTGACCAAGCACCACAGCCCACCACCGCACATCGCATCGATAGGTTAGCTCGGCACCCGTAGGTGGTGGGCGGAGCCGCCATGCCAGGCATCGTGGCATAGCTCGGCACCTCGCGTAAGGTGTGGATGGATTTGACTGCGAGTCGAATGTCCGGAAGATGATCCAGATGTTCAACTACAGGTGTGTGTGTGTGTGTGATACACGGAAAGAAAAGAACAACCTACCGGTGGTGTTGGGAGAAATATCAGGAAAACGGTGTTGGGTGCTGGCTCTCGATTCCTATTATCAAGTGTCAGTATAGTACAATGCCTTACAAATGGGGGAGAAGAAGAAAAGAACCTATACACATGTTATCTTCTTCAGTCTTGTTCGTGATGTTGAAACTTCTGCCACCTCCACTTCGCCCTAGTGAGAAAGCCCTAAGAATGGCTCCGATGACCACTGCTTTCCTTTTATCAACTGCAAAAAGAGCTGAGTGAGAAGCGGAAGTGGATCACAGTTTGTTTTTTTTTCCACTGAGTAAGCAGCACTCAAAACAAAGTGATATTCTAAGGATAGCATCCTTAAACCAAAGTACACTCCCCATCAATTGCATACACCTTTCCTAATTATTTTGCCAAGATAATACATTATCTGTTCCACTCGATGACCACTGGTTAACTCCGCTGGCTAGCCATTCCTTGCCCCGCCTGGGGCTGCATCACTGTGGGCATTTGCACCGGAGGCACATAGGAACCTCCGCCTGCCGTGCGACTGCTGTAGTGCACGGATCCCATGGTCGGCTGACGAGGCTCAATGAGTTCATCTCAGTCAGCTATCCCATTTGTCAGTCCTAGTTAGCTGCTTCGTTATGTGGGTCTATTTTGCGGGTTAACCATCCTCTCAGTTCCTCTCAGTCAGATGTCCGTCCAACCGGAAACTCTTAACTCTGACCCTTCTTCCGGCTCCAACGCTTCTTCCCGCTGAGCGCTTCTTGCGAATGCCAAGAAAACATCACACCAAGCAGTGTTCGTTCCGTCAGACGCCCTGTGGAGCTCACTCTATGAAGCGCTCAGCCCAAGAAGGAAGTACTGGTGGCTTCACCACATGATTCATGATGCTTTGAGCCAGATCGGGTAGAAGTGGCTAGTACCCCCTCTGTAATTAGAGGAAAGGAACGTCTTTCAAGAGAACCCTTTGAATGAAACTGCCATCCATGGCATGTAAAGGAAAGTAGTCATGGAACAGTCAGAGATTGTCAGAGTGCATTGAACTCGTGAGACTTCCACCCTCTTCGTTTGTGGCACAAGCACCAGTGCTCAAAGCTCACACGCCTCCACCCAGATTCGGTGGTGGCACATAGGAGCCTCCTCCACTGGCCTGACTGCATCATCACCACCCGATGGCTTCGGTGGGGTTTGCCGTGCAGGATTTCGATGGCTTCAAGGGAACAGCTGTGCAGAATTGGTTCGAAGATTCTGGACGATTTCCCACATGGACTCAAACCCTTGACAACCCACGGACCACTTTGGAAAGAACATGGTCCCTATACCGCCTACACCGATACCCCTTAAGAATCCGGTAGAACGGGCCCCTCCATGGTTCGGACCCGACACCGAAACGCACCGAACCGCAGGGGTCCGGGCCCGAACCAAACCCGATGTGTTGTGTTGGTTCGGCCTGGGTTCTTGGGGTAAGACAGATCAACGAGCCTTGCAGTCAGCTTTCCTGGAAGGCTTCGGATGAATTTGGCCACGAATCAAAGTATATTCTGACCAGGAATCCCAAAAAGGATCACCTCAAACACTCAGAGATGCTGAAAGATTCGTCAACAGATGTAGTCCAGGCAGGATTTGTTGGATTTGTGTAGCCTTTTGGCCATGTAGGTGTGTTTTCACTTCACCATCTTCATCCCTACTAAACCATGATGTCCATACCCGTACACAGGCGGCTACAAGCCAAAGGGTTTGTAAATGAGGCATCCCTTTTGGTGCGTACAGGCACATACAAAAGCCCACCTGTTCCAAAGCCCTTTTGCAAGGGTGGAGCTCCAAGGCATTCAAAAAGGTCAAAAACACTCAGTCTCTCACCATCTCACTGGAGCAAGTTTGGTTGATGCACATCGATTTACCCACCTGGTCTGGCCCCAAATGCGCTGCCCAAGCTGCGCGAGCCGCGCGAGCCCGCCGTGGCGTGAAACGACACGATCTCGCCCGCCTGCAGCAGATCTGGTGGAGGCACCTCGGGTGGCTTCGGTCAGAGAAGGGTCGGTCAGGGTGAAGGAGTGAAGGATTCATGTCCACCAACCTGCCAGACCGATCCCGAAGACCTCCGGAGAAGCAATGAAGATGCAGGTGGCTCCAGCAGCACGGCTCGACTTGGCGACTTGGCGGCCAACATCTTCCCGACGCCACGAATCCCTTCTGGTTGAACTTCGAGATGGAACTCCTGCTACTTGTTTTCGCCTGTGAGGGGTGATGGTCATAACATGGGAGGAATAAAGGAGTCGCTTTGGCACTGAGGGCAACTTTGAGGGCATCCCCTCTCTTAATCAAATCAATCTATTTTTTCCCAATGTGATGAATGCTGAACATTCTTTCTTTCTACAGGCTGCCTTGCTCTCTCGTAGTCAACCAGCCAATATAGCCAACTATGGTCGAACACTAGTGCCAAGCAAGGCACATAGGAGCCTCCAGGAGGACCTCCCGCACCCACGGGCGGCACATAGGAGCCGCCACCCACATTCAGGGGTGGCATGTAGGCGCCTTAAAAGCAGGGCGCATGGCCAGGATCCTCTTAAACCCAAACAATTTATGGGACCTCAAAGCGTGAGTTACCTAAATTGGGGTCATTTTTCGTGGGGTAATGTCAACATGGTATTAACCAACCCCCCCCTATTAGTCTACCCAGCGTTCAGGCCCCAATAATAAACTAATTTGAACTATAAATTTCCACAGTCACCACCCTCTAAATAAAAATTTTGCTTGGCTGAACCCCCCCCCTATTAGCCTACCCCCTGTCCCCCCAGGAAAAACATAATTACTTCAATATATATATATATATGTGTTTAATTAGTTTTGTTCTTTTTGCCTTTTCAATATCTTTTGCCTTTTCAATATTTTCTTGTCTTGCCATGGTGAAACTGATCTTCTGATTGATTACCAATGCTCTCCCAAAGCAACAGTTTTTTCTAGAATTTCCAAAAACTCTCTAGGAAAATTCTTTCATTTTCCCTTATTAAAACTCTATCAAAATCTGCAATTTGAGAAGCTCAGAAAGGGTACCCCCATACACCCCCTACCCCCGTCTAATAGTGGGGTACCCCCCCTATTAGTCAACCCCATCCATGATGAGCTCTCATGGACCTCATGATGAAAGGGAATTAGTATTTGGGCTCTCATGGATCTCATCATTCCATCCCAGCTCTTCCAAATACTAATTCCCTTTCATTCCAATTCTTCCAAATACTAATTCCCTTTCATCATCAGGTCATCCCCACTATTAGGGGGATGTGATCTCCAAAACCTCCAATCTCAGACCTTGTTGACCTTGTTGACCTTCTAGGGGGGGGGGGGGCCGTTGATTAATACGACGTTGGCATTAAATGTATGTAAGGATTTCAGTCCCATGGATGGTCTGGGGGATGCAAGTTCATCGAATTTCATGTGAGGGAATTGTCTTTTTTTACTGAGACCCTCAAGCATTGATCACCGAATAGAAGGTTCTCTTGTGATCGGACCCGGTGGACACCCGCTACTCATGTGTTTTGCTCCTTCAGCCTTTGTCATTGGCTCAATCGAAGACCCTGAATGTCTGGAGGAACACCTCAAGAATCTTAGCAGATCCTAAATTGACAGATTGACTGTCTATTCATGATTCTGCACAGTGCCAGACATTTTGACTGACTTGGGTTTCCACATGTTTTCTAAAATCTCTCTAGCACCACCCGTACGACCCCTATGTTTTGAAGCTGGGGCTGGAACCTTCAACTTGCCATGGCCATAACAACTACAGTACTACAAGCAACCACCGACCATAGAGGACTGGTAAGATCTAAGGCTGATTTGGATTAGGGACTTGAAGAACTTGACTTGACCGTCCCAAGTTGGCATCGCAAGCCCTTCCTTCAGCTGCTCTTTTATGTCGCGTGCCGCGGCTGCGGCAGGGGTTGATGGGCGTTGCCCAGGGTACCATGTGCGAACGCACAAGTTGTTTTGGACGGTTTGGAAGCCCATTTGGCTCAAACCACACATCGAATTCATCGATGTCATAAGTGTTCCGGGCTACTGGAAGCCGCCCTCAGCTATTGACTTTCACTGAAGGTGCGAAACAAAACCTTGGAATGTGCAGCAAAGGACATCAAATAAGACCTGGATAGAGATGGATCTTGGAAGAACTGTCAATTGCTGCCAAGTACCACCATTAACTCTGACAACTGAAAACTGCCCCTCCATCAAACAAACTGTTTCAACTAGAAGTCCATGGTTTCGGGGTTCATTTGCCTGTGCAGGTATTTAGCCTCCTGTCCGACCCTGTCCATGAGAAAACATGGCATCTCTTCTCTGGACCCTTGACTGAACACCTGTGCCAGTAGGCCACATCAAAAGAAACAGTCGTAGTTCCATGCGTTTCCCTGTTGCTTTATTGGTAACTTTGTGCACATGTTGAATCCATCGATAGCAAACCTTCTTGAGAGAGTGCTACTAAACGTGCTCCTCTCTCAATCCTACTGAAAGTTTGCCATTGACCTCCCTTCTAAAAACGATGTTAGACGATGTTCATCATGGTTCATCTCTGTTCTGTACTAACCTCGCCTTCCTCCCAGCTGGAACCCCAGCTCCAACCTCTCTGCTGGCTTCCCACTTCCAAAAACCTCCACCAACTCTGGTCCTGGTTAGCCCTTGCTGCATCAGTCTCGTTCTCTCAGCCCAGCAACGCCTTAGAGCTCGTCATGAGCTTCCTCCTCATCATCATCGCCGCCGGCACCCCCACCGGCACCGCCTCCGCCGTAGTACTTGGAGACCTCGGGAGAGTACAAACGCCCGATGGAGAGGTGGCCAATCACAGCAGCAAATGATTTCCCTGTGATCCCTTGGACAGGTAAAGTACCTTGGGTATATTACCAGTAGCAGTGGATGATGATGGTTAGTGAAGGCCTTTCTCCAACATATAGTAATAATGGTTTACTGACTGTTGCAGGTTTACTGGGACAGACCCAAACAGTACCCATGACCCATCAGGAAATTTTGTGCAGTGGAAATTGAAACGAGCAAACAACGAATCAAGCACCTGTTGGTGTTTTGAGATCTTCATTGAAACCACGATCATTGTCTGAGTCCAGTGCCACTTGCAGGGTACATGAGGGTGGTTGACCCCTCCACTATTTTAGATACCTTAGAATAACCCTTCCCCATTCTCTACGAGTCGCACCAGTTAGTTGTATGGGGAAGCAACCACTAGAAGATACTAGAAGCTTCCATCCGAAAAAACAAACCGGTCCAATTGGTCCGACCCTCGCGCCGAGATACGATGGGAGCGCAAATGCCTTCGATCTCCTTGTGTTTCTCCTTGATCTCCTGGAGTAAACAACGCAAACCCTTCGTGGTGTCGATGGGAATATTGGGCAGGAAAAAAAAAAACGCTTCATAGTTGGCCCATCTCCAAAGAATCTTAGTAGATCTTGGTCAATTGGGACAACCGTTCCCAACATTTTAGAAAAGTAAACAATACTGCAAACAAGCAGGACATGTTTATGTATTGTGCAGGATGTGTTGTAGAATCTCAGGAGGCCTCTGTCATTCCAGTTCTTTTGTGTCGATCACCAATCGATCAATTTACATCACGCCATCACTAAGGTTCTGTGTTCACTTCGCTACATGTCGTACATGTGAGGTTCTGGGCTCATGTCTGGCTCTCATGGGAGGTCACAGCGAGGAATCACGAGGACATACCATCCTCCTCACACACAGCATGAGCAGCGCATAGAAAAACACACATTCCACCCTAGTCATCGTGGTGCCGATTTTTCGATGGACGACAGAAACAGATCTTCTTTAGGCGTCCCGGATGGTTTTTGTTTTCCCCTGAGACAGTCCGCCGCGGTGGCGGACCTAACTTCAGTGTGAAGACTGTGTCTTTTTAAAGTGAAACTTCAGTGGCCATGCAACCCAGGGCTGAACCTCAGTCTTCCTGGTTTTCCACCCTGACAGGGTGAACAATCTACTGACACCGTGAACCGCTGGAAAAGAAAGGTGAACAAATCAGTGGGGGAAACCAATGCCCCTGCCCCCCCAAACCAAAGAAAACGGTTTTGCAGGTTCACCGGTCAACCCATGCATGCATGGTATGTCCAACCCATGCGGTTTTCATCTTTCGGTCCTCGGCATCAGCCTCCGGGTTGGAATCTAACCAGGACTGGCCATCCTTCCTGAGGAAGATCGGCGCGGTGGTGTCGGTGTCTACAGTTTCCAGATCGAGAGAACAAGAAAAAATGCGACTGAGACAACAAGCTCGACAACCTATTGAGCTGTGCTCAAAACGTGTGGCATCTGCCTATGTCGTAAGACTTTCCTTACGCAGCAGCTTACGCCTGGCTTACGCCACCACAATGGCAGCTTACGCGCACACTTTGCACACAAAGGGGCTTACGCAACACTTACGCGAACACAATCTTGCACCCGGCCACAGCGCCAGCTTACGCGCCATCTGTTTTCCAAGCAAAGCACAGCACACAACAGGTTTGTTACGTCCGCGGGTGTAGGGCAGTGAGAAGCCAGGATTTCGTAGATGGTCTGGACAATGCGTTGCCTTTGGCGCCATTGCGAGTCAGAAAAAGCCTGCTCTTTAGGAGGCATCGTGGGCCACCGTCTACAAAAGAGAGGGGGGCTTACGCGCAGCTTACGCGAAGCTTACGCGCGCCTTACGCGTATTACCGACACCAAAACCGATAACTGCATGGTGACATAGTGTGTCTGACAACTGCTGGTAGACTTTATGGATCTTTATGGCTACGGGAGTTGTTTGTATGGCTATAGGAGTAATGTTTGCATGTGTCGACCCATAAAATCTCTGTCCTGATGCCTATGTAACACAGGAACCCCAAGAACCCTTCTTTCTGTGGAGCCAATCACCTTCGACCATACCAATTGCCAAGAAAAAGATCCAATGCAAGGCTTCATCAACAAAGGTCTCCTATAATTTCCAAACATTTCAAGAATACATGTGACATGTATGTTAAATTTCGACTTGCTTACGCGGCTTACGCAAGTTTCATCTCACAAAAAACGCTTACGCAACCTTACGCACATCAGAGTTTTGCTTACGCGAAGGATTCATATGACAAGCCCACTACTAAACATGAACAGGGAGGTTCTTAGCGCGGCTCTATTGATCCAACCATTTCCGTTGGATGTGCTTGTAAAAAGTGTTTTAAACAAACAATAACAATAACAAAGATCACACACGACGAGCAAACCACACCAAGTGAACATCGACTTGAAGATGAAAGGGGCACTCTTGGAACCCCTGTCACGACATTGTCGCCCTCCTGCACACAATAGCAGTCTTTATGAAGTTCCCAGAAAAGGATGTGGAACAGCAAAGACGTTTACGATAGCGTGGAAGGCTTCATTTGGAAACACTTGACTATCTGAGGTGGAATAACATGATGAACTCCTTAAAAGCATAAACGGAAAAGCCGTCCTTGTGGACATGATTTAATGTCTCTGTTGGTGATTGTTGCAATGGGTGGTAACATCATAAAACATCATCAAACAAACGCACGAGGCAGTGTTGCTGCTACTGCAGCGACCAAAAAGGATTGTGGATGAATCTGGATGGCGCCCAGATTCATGAGACCAAGTAACACCCTTGATTCTCTACACAACTGGCGAAAAGTGGCAGCACGATGCATCAATCAAACCTCATCTCCCAATTCAGGAATTGCGGTCCAGTTGCAAGGCATCCAGAATCTTCTCCTTCTCATCCTCAATTGATTGACTTTATCCAGTTGCTTAGACCCTGATTGTCCACGGGTTCAGATGGTATAGAAGAGTTGACAGTTTTGGAAGGGGCCACGCAGTCACGCAATCTGATTCTGTATTGACCCAACCTGCCAGAATGGTACGAAAAAGTCTGACTCCACGTCAAGAAACTCCAGAAAACTGGGTGTCTGTTCAGGAATGCGGAATGCATCTGTCTAGCACTATATAACCGTTGCTCGTGAAGTTGGAAGCGTGAGTCCCTAAATTGTCAAACAAGACCTTGCAGTGCATGTTCTTCATTCTTCAACCGCAAGTCGACTTCTAGAGCGGCCCACCACGTCCATTGTCTTGGGTTCAATGTTACACATGATTTTGGATCTAAATCCTACACTCCCTGGAACCATCGCAACCTGTTTGCAGAGGCCAATGGTCATCCGAGTCTTTGCGGGCCACATCCACATCCGGACGGATTCCAGGGAGAAGGGGGCGTCCAAATCGGCTCGATGTACGTGTTCCTTTTGGGCACTTAACATCTTGGCATGTGCGTTTCCGGTGGTGTGTGTCCTCACAACAGAGCTAAGTGACATTAAGCGACCATAGCAACTCGAGCGTGAAGTCGGCTCATGGAGTAGCAACATATATCAGAATCATGCCCTTTGGCTTTTTTTGCTAGGGATCTCCCAGGTGGGCATATATTTCGCAGGTACACTATAATAGGCTTCAGATCCTGCTACAAATGGCTCTCTCCTACATCCCCCCCCAAATCCACCGCCCTCGCCACCACCAACGGGTGGCTCTCCGCTTTTCCTTCGTGCGTTCCTTCATCCGGCCAAAGGCACCGAGTCCATCTTCTCGCTCAAGCCCTTGTTGTCGCCGGAGCCTTCGGTGGCCGAGCGCATGGAATGGACGTAGCCGTCGAAGGCGTTCTTCGCGTCCACGCGCTCCTTCACCTTGGAGCGAGCGGGTGGCCGAAGGCGGCGCTGCGCCGCGCTGCGGTTGAAGGGCGGAGCGTGTGAGTCAGTGCCACCGTCATGACAGGTGCACGAAAGCAGGAGAGTCATCTGCCTCAACCAACTCGTGTCCAACTGTAGAAGGATGTTATAAACGATCATATCTGTGATGTGGTGTGTTTAGGATGCGTGAAATGCAAGTTCTTGGAGAGGATGTTGCATTTCTCCACTGGGGTGGAGTGAGTCCGAGTCACCTTGCAAGGACTCTGGCAGAGACACAAAGTGCCTATTGAAACTTTATAGTGATTTGTCTTCAATATTCCTGACCACTCCCAACACAGCTATACAAAATGAAACCGCGCCCAAACCTCCCACATCCACCCATCCCACCAGTGCGCCCAACCACCACGGCGCCAACGGTCGGCGCACGTTTCCGCCTTCTTGTCCTCATCGGCGAACTCCTCGGCTTCTCGGATCATCTTCTCGATCTGCTCCTCGGTGAGACCTGGTCAGTCCAGTGGCAATGGAATGGAGATATGGGGCAATGGTAATCACACCATTCACTATGGAGAGAAGATGATCCAATTAACCAATTCACCTGGATCTCAATTACCAATGGTTATGCAATGGAGATAATGGTAATGGAGATAGGGTCGAGCTTGTTGTGGTACTTAAAGCGAAACACATGAATTATCCGTCCAAGTTTAGCACACATTCTTGTGGAGAAGTGGCCATCTTCGGGGTGTTCTGTGGGATCTGGCGCCAGCAGTTTCACCTGAAGGTCCAAGTCACGGCCCTTGTCGTTGGTGATGGTGATCTTCTCGCTCTTGCCGGTGCCCTTGTCCTGTAACAACTGCCATGGATGGAATAAACAAATGGAAGTAACATGAAGCAAGCAAGGTTCCCTGAAAAAATACTGATTGCCAAGTGAGTGAACCGAATACCAAAACAACAAGGTCAAACGCGAAGTGAGTGGGGTCTAAAGTTTTGGAAATGACTCATGTCACTCCCTGTGACTGGAGACACGCAACATTATGTTGGGTCAAACTGGGATAACTTGCATGGGTTTTCCTGCCACATGTATGGCATTGTATAGCTGTTGTTGAGCTTCACCAAAAAATACTGAAAGGCTGCCAAGGGCGCACACAATTCCAAAGCAGAATCCACCAAAGAGTTTTGTGCGACAGTGGCTCGACCGCTTGACTGTTGCCTTGACCTCGGGGTGAAACCGCCTGCCTGAACTTGTAGGACTTGCAGGCAGGGGTGTGTTTTGAACATGATTGAAAGGATTCACATGGAAGGATGAAAGGATCCACATGGAAGGATGAATATGCTGCTCAAATGAGGTCAGAAAGGACTTCCCTTCTCTCGCAAACCCAATTTTGGGGATTCTAGGGTAAACAGCCTCAGCCTGTTACCATCCTCTTCTGGCCCTTGCGACGAGAGAATTAATTATGTTCTTTCTCCAAATAAAAGAGCAGGTCTAGATGCTATGAAATGTTCAGAACCTGATCACAGTTTCTTCTCAGTCCTTCTCAAACTGTTCCACCTTCAAATCCTGTAGCTTCTCACCTTATCACCCCAAACTCGTCAGTCGTCCGTCAGTCAACCTCATGTCGACCAGTTTGACCGGCTCCCGTCGTAGCCGTACTCCGACATGTCATGACGTACTCCGGTCGTCCCCACTCCTCGGCCCCCACGTTCAAAATGCCATTGCTGTCGATCTCAAAGGTCACCTCGATCTGCGGCTGACCACCTGAGAGACTGACGCGTCAGCGGTGCTTTTGAGACATGCTTTTGGGAGAAGAAAACGGCGGATGAAACAGCTCTGAGGGGGTCGGTCAATAGTCTAGAAATAACCCTGACTGCCACATAGTGCTAAGTCATGGAAATGTTGTTACAAGAACTCTAGGTCTGCAACTTTCAAAGGCCATAGGAGGGACCTTAAGTACATCATGGTTGCATGGATGGGCATGTTCTCGTTCAGCTTGCTGAGGGAGCGGTGTGAGTACGCGGTGTTCGTCTGAGCCGAAGACGGTGAAGACGAACGCCTCCCACCCAGCACTTCATAGGACGATCAGCATATGACTGCCGAGAACGGCCAGTGGTCCCAGGGGTCACTGTCGTATCGCCCAACTACCCCACGCTCGCTCGCTCCTCAACGACCCCACACACGAAGCAAGCTCCCATGAATGATGCGCTTCTGTTTTGCCGGGCGGCGAGGAGCAGGAGGGATACCGCCCAACTCGAACTTGCCCAGCAAGTGGTTGTCCTCGCTCACTCTGTCTCCACCCGTCGTGTCTTCAGAGGTTTGACGGCACCCCAGGATGTCTTAGACAAATGGAGGTCAAAAATGGTCAAAAAACTTATATCGGGGTTCTGTTCTATTGGAATACCCAGACACTCCCATGTATGGCATATTTACATACATTGGGGTGGTTGAAAAGGGGTCAATGTAGGTAAACTATGCCAGTCCCATTAGTCGTGTCTGGGTATGGTCAAACTCCCAGAGAGGTCCTATCGGCTGGCCGAACGCCCATCCGGCTGGCCGCACGACGGGTTCAGGGTGCGGTCCTTGGTCATGGGTCGCTCGCCCTCGTAGACCTGGATGTTCACGGCCGGCTGGTTGTCCTGTCTGAGGCGAACGGAACGGATGCGCCAGGAGAAAAAGCAGAGGTAGTAGTACCCCTGTAGACTGTAGACTAACATGTACCCTGAACACATATCGGTTTGTAAAGGAACATGGCCTGAACATGCCTGAACCATTGGTCGGTCTATGCTCAAGGTATGTTAGTTCTTCGGGGGTGCCTAGATCCATCCAGCATCACACCTGTCAGGGACCTAAAACAGCTTGGCCAGGAGGGTCCTGAGTTCTTGTGACTCTTGTGTGTGGGGGGGGTTACAAAGGAGTTCTGCCCATTCATCCGTTCACTTCACATCCAATCTATACAAGTGTCTAACATGCTTGCCAAAAAGAACAGGTTGTAGTGGGTAGTGGTAGTCGTTTAATGCACTAATGAAGTTAGTGGGAGGCCGTCCTCACACAAGTGGATTTCGGAAAGTACTACAGGGATATGCCGCTGACCCCGGCTCATTTCCTGCCAACTGTCATGTCAAGAAAGGTGAGGAGAGGTCGACGATATACTTTCCTGACTTCTATGTGGCCACAAATTCCACAATCTGGCCGGCTCCAAAACGATCCCATTCCAATCTTGTCAGGTTTAGAGCCCTAAGAATCCGGGAACTCAAACGCATAGGTTTTGAGGGTCAGGACCCCTGCGAAGTGTCGGGTCCCACCTCTGGCATGGAGGGCCCGTTCGGATTAGGCTCCAATCACCTTCTTCTGAGAAGGTACTTGGATCCCTAGGGTTAGGGATTGACAATGGTTGGCCAACAAACTCCGTCCTGGTAGGTGGAGAAGATCTGCGACTTCCTCAGGGTAAACCCACGTGGCGCAGCGTCGTCTTCCACGCAGGAACCACGAGTCGGTGGGAAGATGGGCTGCGTGGTTCAAGCGGAGCAAGCCAAGAGAATAGGCCAAAATACCGTACCCCCAAAATCCACCCACCAGAGCAAAAACAAACACAAAACAAAACAGGCAAGGCTAGGCTAGGCAACAAACAACCAGTGTATGGCATCCTGACAAGATACAAACATATACAAACATCCACTGAAAAGTCCACCCCACCCTTTCCTTGTGTTCTATCATGCTTGCCGGGAGTTGAGGAGAGAATTATTGTCTTCAACAACGCATGTGATCCAATAAAGAAACACAACCTCCGAGTCAAGACCGAGGTCCTACGTTCCATCCGGAAGTCATCAAGCGACAAACCAACCGCCCCGCCTAACACCGCCCTAGAAAACGCCACCAAAGAAGAAACCGCGTTGGTCAACTCCGTCCAGACCTGAACGCTCCACCGAGGCACTTGGTGGGGATCACCGTGTTTCGGGAGATCAGCTTGGTCATGACGCCGCCCACGGTCTCGATGCCTTGAGAACGGACGCAGCTGCTCGAGGATGCTGGATTGCCAGTAATCGGTGCAGCTGGATAGGTGGTGAACTTGCAAAAAACTGCATACCTATTGTGGACAGCATATCTATATATGTGCTGGTATGCACAAGAGATGAACTATCTATATATGTGCTGGTATGGACAAGAGGTCTCTGAACCTCCGAAGACGAAACCAATGATAAATGTAATATCCCCAACACGACCTGTCTGGGACTGTCATCGTTTACGCTACATGGACCCCTGAGATCAACCACTATGCCTCCCAGGCCAGGAGAGGGCAAGGAGAAGGACCAGGAAGGAGGGAGCGCAAAGCAAACAAGATGGAAGGTGAGAAGGATGCAGAAGGCAGTCAGGAAGCAAGCAAGCAAGCAAGAAAAGCAATATGTTGCAGTTTGGTGAGTGTCATGTCAGCTGCGGCTCTCAAGTTTAGTGCTTGGTTGGGTGCCTAGGTCTTTCATGTTTGGTGATTGGTTGTGTCCTGTGGTCTTCAAGGTCGGGGATTGGTGGGGTATGGAGGAGCATGGGAAGGAAAGCTACTTTCCCAGAAATCCTTTTTTGCAAATTCTGCTGTCACAAAAGATTTCTCCTCGCAGATCTTTGACTTTGGGCTTTTAAAGGTAAAGGGGTCCGATCGTTCTGCCCAGACATCAACGTTTTGTGGGAAAGTAGACTTCTCTCCAGATCAGTGGCTCTATAACTTCTATAGGTTTACCTATGCCCCTATGCGCCAAGTCAAAAGATCTCGTGAAATCGAATTACAGTATCTGTCAGTGGTGGCTTTCTGATTAAGTACCTCAATGAACAAGCTTTCAAATCAATAAACGTTTTCAGGTCCCATCATAGTAGGGCCTGTAGACCTTTTTTTCTGGAGTTCTTCATCAAGGATCTCTGGGAAAGTAATCAGGACTTGCCCTAGGAGTCGATTGCTCATAATGCACCAAGAAGAATTTCCTGCCTTGCCAACTTCTATGTCAAACTTCCCTTCTGTAAGCACCACCTTCCCCTCGCAACCTGCTCCTCCACGCCCCAACTCCCCGCCACCGGCGAAAAAACCCTCCCGCAGCTGTGAGGGGTCAGGCAGTCGGTCGCTCGCGGCGCGGGTCGCGCTCCATCCGCCACGGCGCCCAAGGTCAAGGGCGTTACGTCCAAGAGCAGCAAATCCTGACCGCCCTCGCCGCTCAAGATGCCCGCCTGCACGGCAGCACCTCGGGCTACCAAGCATACTTTCACATGAATTGGAGGTGAAGCGTTGCAGCGGGTTTTGGATGGATCACAAGGGAGCTTTAGCTGGGAGCAAAGAGGAGGTGGAGAAGGCCATCTGAAGAAGATCTGTTTCAAGCTTGCGGAAGGCTATTTGGCAGATAAGGTAGTGTTCTTCAATGGATGAGGATTCTTGTCATGCCCCTCAAACGTGTTGCACTTCAAACATACCTAGTCCCCTTATGGTCTTCAACATGGTCGTGCCCCTGGTCGCGACCCTGACAAAAGACCTCCGTCTCTCAATGAAGAGTTCTGAAAGGCACACATCCGCTGTATCTATGACGCACGCAGCAGCCCATACCAGTAAGTGAAGAATGTGAAGAACATAGCAGCAGCTCGGTCGTGCCTCATGTATGATGATTCCCTAAGGACAAACATGCGAAGAATTGTGTCAAGCCTGGCAACGTCACCCTGCACATCTCTGCACTATAGTAGAAGCTGCAGATGGAGTCTCGGGCTCTCAGGCCTTCAAGAAGCCTTTTGGGTACTCCTAGTGCTCCTAGTGCGCGAATCTTCAGATTCTTGGAGATGAGATGATATAGTTTCACCACCTTTCACCTTTGTTCATCATTCTCATCCTTGGACTCTCAGCGTGATTTGGACCGACACCTGGACGCTGCCTCTAAAAAACATTTAAAAAACACACCCACGATGCCAGCGACGTTCAGGGGACCCCGGCCGTAGGCCACAGCCTCATCAGGGTTAATGCCACGGTTGGGCTCCTTGCCTCAGATGGTGAGCGGATCGAGCCCAAGGTCGCAGTTGAGCGGATCGCAGTTGAGCCCGGAGTCACTTCGGGGGAATTCAGGAGGGTTAGAAAGATCCAAGCCCACCACATGGGTGTGTATTTTTATATAGGGAGACACCCTGGCTCTGGCTGGGTAGACTGGTCTATTTTCCATCTTTCAGCGGGTCGCACTGGGAGGTCTCCCTATTCTGCCCTATTCTGATACATTTGGCAGGGTGATTGGGAAGAACCAACGTGATTCGCGAGCCTTCGCGAGCCTTCGGGCTTGGTTGGAAAGAACTTCGATGGATTTGAGATGTTTTGACAGAATTCAAAGGACTTGGATCAAGAACATCTGTAAAACACTGGGAAGGTCCAATCTCGATGCAGCGTTTCCTGCTGCTCTAACATGCCACCAAAAAGACTACAGGGACTACTACCTGCCGCTTTTGGTGGTAGTCCATGTAGACTGCCTGAGGAAACGCGAAGGGCACAGAATGGCCATCTGCAACTCCAGGTCACCGTTGAAGAAATCCTTGATGAGCCTCAGTTTGATTGGTCCCACGGTCCCGGCCTGACCTACATCGACCCCGTTTCAACCAACCACTCCAATGACGGTCAATATATTAGCCAGTCCCATTAGTCGTGTTTGGGAGGTGGAACCATGGGCCGAGGATCAAGCCATCTTGGAAAACAAGGGTGCTTTTCTGCATTGAAGGCCTGAATCATCAGTATCATCAGTGACCTCTGACATCTTTACAACGCCTCGCCACACGCGATCTCACGAGTGTTGTATATCAAAGGGAGGTCCAAGTGCCGACCCTTCCAACGCTTCGCAGTCTTTGGATGCAACGTGAACGCAAATCCTCTGAGCTGAGAGAAATTGCTGGCAACCACCATGTTTGGTAACAAAGTGATCAGCGAAATGGTACAGAATTATTGCAGGTGCATTGGTGCCTCGGTTGTCCTCTAGGGTTGTAAGCTGGCTGCTGGCCAAATGACTGACGATTATCACTATCACTATCGTGAATGTTATCACTAGCTAAATCAACTACTTCACTGGTTTACAGATCTTGCAAGTGCCCTCTCATGACCCACCGCTCCACGCCGCTCACGGTGGTGTCCTGCACTGCCGGGGCACTGCTGCACCTTGGGAATTCGAGTGGAACCGCCCACGAGCACAATCCTCAGTCGCCACTGCACCAACACAAACAACTCCGTGTTGAAGCATCGCAATCGATACAACCCACCACGGATCGTGGGTAGTTGTTGGATGGTAAAACACATACAGGCCAGTGTGTCTATAAACCACCCGAACTGGGGGATGCTGCTTTGGGATTGGAAGTGGTGTGATGGTAGTTTGGACGAGGGTGGCAAAGGCTGAAAATCATCAAACCCACTCTGCATGCAGATTGACTTTCGTTGGTTCAACAGTCCTGGACTGATTGCTGGAACTCGAGTCGGTGTCTCTGAAGCAGACGACGCACGCGATTCAATCTCGTTCCTCCACAAACACCTCGAACCAAAAAAACAACATATAAGGACCATATAGGTTTGCTATGTTTACTTCATCATCGATTTCTCAACACTGCATGGCACAGAACTCGTCCCTCTGCGCCTTTGCGCAGAACTCGTCCGAAAAAAACACACGCCAGGCCGTCCTTTTTGGGCCCTTGGGCCGCGAGGTGAAACCCCCGGAGTCTCCCCAACGGCCGAGGATCTCATCGACCTGGTTCTTCTTGAGGCCGGAATCCTCCAACACCTGCAGAAGAAGGAAAACATCAATCCGTGTATCCCCTGAAGATCTCCCTGGACATACAGTACAGGGGGGGGGTAGTCTGGATCTATGGGACCATTAAAAAAAAACTGTTTTTATGGGATATACCATGACCCCTGTGTGTGTGTTTTTTTTTTTAAGAGGAGATGATGCATGGATATCCCGGAATCCAAAGGATCTGAGATATGGGCCATTATGGGCCGATCCATTGGGAGATGGTTTTTCACATGTCAAGGTTGAAGACAAATGGTGAACGTAGGCCATTCGTTCCAGTCCGAACCAAAAAATCTTCAGTCCGACCGTGCGTTTCCATGCGAACTGACCCCGCTGAAAACGCTCCGCCCCGGGAGGAGAAGGAGAACACGGAGTTCGGGATGGGGGGGTGAATGGGTGACCGCGTATCGTCACTGACGTCTGAGTCAGTTAGGCACCTGACGCCCAAACACAACCTGTCTGGGACTGGCGGATTTGACCTACATTGACGAAACCAACCCTATATGCCATACATGGGCCATCTTCAACTCAACAGCAATCCCAAACACTCCATGTATATCCATGAGTATCCATATATGTCATATCTACCTACGACCCCTCCAAACCATCGGATTGGAGTCCATGGGTTATGAGGCCTTGTCAAAAAACTGCCGCCGCCACACACTGACCGTGTTGCCAGGACCAAGGACCGAGACCAAGGTGACCGAACCTGCTTCACTGGGCCCAAGGTGTTCTTGAAGAGATCCGCGTTGAGCTCCTGGCAGCGAACAGGAGCTCAATGAGTTTACATGTCCTTTTTTCGCTCCAAGGATCTCCTGGGAACGTACTTCCAAAAAAGCATTCTTAAATCCTCGTAGCTTGAAGGAGTGGAACAGCATGCTCAAAGGCTCAACAGCTTCATATTTGCTCTTGGAGTCTTGGAGCCCTCATTGAAACCCTCATTCGTCTTTACTCTTCACCAACTGCATCGTCTGCTTGAGGATCCTCTCCGTTCCGCACCCCCCTTTGGCTGACGGGACTCGTCTCCTCGAAGCGCGCGCGGGTCAAGGTCTCGGAGAAGTCGGTGCCATCGTACAACGCCTCGATCTCCAGGCGTGCCTCGATGTCAGCAGGGGCCAACAGCAGGGGGCAAACGGCCAGGATATAGGACATCCCTTAGAATATATAGTTATAAGTTGCTACCTTTAGGATCCTACTCTACTGCTGCCTTGAGTAGCTCTTGATGCCTGGCTTTGAAAAAAAGCTCCTGGCCCACATCCCCAGAAGATAATTGGACCCAAACCCACTTGATGCCTGAGATTGAAAAGAGAAGGGGCTCCTTCTGAGGATGTGGATAGCTGGGTCAAACAATCACCGTATAGTTGTCCAGGCCCATAGCCATATCTGAAGCCCAAGAACAAACGATGATTATGCATGATATATATATAATATTAAGTATAGGTTGGGTCTATCCTATTACCAGTAACAGTGGATGCTGATAGTTAGGTTGCATAGGCCTTTCTCGACAAATTATAGTCTATTGTTTACCGACTGTTAAAGTTAAAGGTAATGGGACAAACCCAAAGTATAGGGATCTAACTTCCCACAACAGCGACGAACCTTTGCTGTAGTGGATAGCACAAAACTTACCCTTTCCACGCTCGCAGAGGCAAACCCTTTTCCTCATCGGAAAGCGCCAAGAATGTCTCGAACCTCACAGCAACAGTTTTTTAATTGTGTTCACATGATGTCATGATCTTCACATATGTTTACGCCGGTCACCAGTAGTTAACAAACAAATGACATGATGTTCCCTTATATTGACACAGTAGCTGTTCACATGGTGTTCACAATGGGTGTTCACATGGTGTTCAAAAACAGTCACTGAACTCTACTGTGTTCCACCACTGAACATCTCACACCCGAACACATGCGCACTCCCCGCCCGAACAAAACAAATCAACCACACTCCGAAACTCAAGCGCTCGCAGCCGCCTGATGGGTGGAGCTCAAAGCTCGCTTGGTCTTCTCCACCTCGCGGAGCCGCGGAGCCAAGAGACGTGGCATCGACGTCCTTTGAACCGATGGCGTCGACCCGGAAATTTCGACTCTTCAAAACTCGGTTGGTTGGACAAGTGGACAACAAGACCCTGACTACTGGTTGGGGGTTGGAGAAAATCAAACAACATGTCAAGGAAACTATACTTATGATCTTATGATCTCATCATTCGTGATTCCTGACAACAATTCTAGTAAAATCCAGGATTCGCATCTTCCTTTTCGCTGCTACACCTGGATCCATTGTCCAACTCAGTCAGTCGCCTATGAATGGTAACTCCTCCACCGGTCACTCCACGCGTATCGGGCCACATCCGACTGGGCCCGGGTCGTCCCGACGTCGTCTGATGATTCCAATCCGAATGTTCCGGACGTCTCAACCACCGTTTTATGGGAGGTTTTATTGGAACGTACATGGTCAGAGGGGCCGGCCTAGAATCACACTCGGTCCTGGGTGGTGCTGGTACAATCTGCTACTGTATTTCTATTTTAGTATTCAAGACTTCATTCGTCTTGATTCACTTGTTGGCACTTGTTGTTCAAATCAAGACTTGTCACAGTCTGCTTGGAATGCACTGAAAGTGCTTGCAAATGTTGCGCACTGGAGCTCACCTCACGTCGAAGCTTCTGGATGGAGCGCTTATCCTTGGACATGTCCTGCACCGCCATGGAAGGGCAGCGGTGGTGAGTGGCCAACGTGCACCATGTTGCAAGATGGAACCACCCGGCCGTTCAAGAAAGGCAAAGAAAATATGAATGCATGTCAAAGTTACGATGTATCGGATATCATTGGTGGTTTTAGGGGGACGGAGTTCCTAGAGTTCCAAGTGCGGTGCTGATGCAACGGTGGCAAGTGCGAAAGACGCGTGATGCATCGGAGGTGAGTGTTTTTTCACATGGCCTATGGCCCACCTCCGAACCCGGGGCGAGAGCGGGCGGCGTCTTGGAACTCCTTGCCGTGCTTCTTCTGGAAGATCTTCATGAAGTGCTGCATCACACCTGAAGAAACCACCAGAAACGGACCTCTGAAAGGCACATCTGCGTGGCATCTGTTTCAGAGACAACTTCGAAAGTTGGGCATCAACACATCTGAGTGGTGTCAGAAACCGGTCCAGGATCTGTAGATGCTCTTAACCAGTCCAGGATCTGTCAGAAACCGGTCCAGGACTTGCTTTTGGATCCTCTTAGCCGTTGTCCTGTGTTGTTGCTTTCGTATCCTCTTCGGATCCTCTGTCACATGCCGCCATGGACGTGACGTGACCAGTCCCCGGACACTTCTTCATACCGCCGGCGCAGTTGCAGCACACGAACCCTTCAGCAATGAAAAACCAAGGTGCGCTGATCGAAGTCCTTGCCGGGTTTACACGGGTTGAAACTGGGGATGTGAGGCGGAGGCGGCTGGGCGTCTTCACTTGCCCAGGTTCGGGCGTGTGGGGTGGAAACCACCGTGAAGCGTGAAGAAAAAGATGTCAGTCTTGCTTCAAAGGATCCTGATGTTGGCTCATGCTGGTTCACCGAAGGATTCAAAGGAATTAACACCCGGCCCCTAGAATGTGCAAAAGGAGCCTGATCTTTTGCAAAGGAAACTAAATACTTCATATTCATTCTGATTTTATGATGTTTTGGTGTGCTTGTCTTTTCCGTATGCGTTTGGGAAATAATTTACTTAGAGCAAGCTCCAAAGATCCTTGCTCCAGCCTCTACCTCCCCATGCACATCCACTAATTACATCCTCTAACCCCTCAAAAACCCATCCAATCCACTATCACTAAGACCACCCCGAACAAGAAATACGGCAAAATACCGCTCCCCCCCACCACTACCCCAGCACATCCGTGTTCGTCCGAGAAAAAAACGCGCTCCCCCCACCACCCCGATCACTCCTCACCGCCCAAGTGGGTGTCGCCGTTGGTGGCCACGACCTCGAAGACGCCGTTGTCGATGGTCAGCAGCGAGACATCGAAGGTGCCACCGCCCAAGTCCTCCGCGCACGCGGATGAGAGACGCGTCAGGAACCTTGGTCACCTGCGATACCAAGAAGGCTTATAAGTATCTCTGTTGATACCAAGAGAGGTGTCCAGTGATCTTATAAGACTGGCGTACCTATGGGATAGTCATGGATAGTCGGGGTTCTTCCGCCTCTGTTGATAGTGGTTTTCATGGCAGCTACTAAGGATGTAAGCCTCAGGATGCCTTTTCGCGATGCTCACTCCGCCCCGGTGGCATCTGAAACATCGCTTATCATCGCTTCGCTTTTCTGCGGAGGTGTTGGTTCCGGATCGATGCTAAAACACCAATGCCATTAATATCCATCAATCACTGATGCCATCAATGCCATTGATATTGACATCAGAGTCGTCATGGACCACACGGAGTTCGGAAGCTGACTGAAGCGAACAGGCCTGTGATACATGGAACGAACTACCCAGACGCTCCATGTTTGTACTATATTTGCCGATCAGGCCAGCAGTGGTTGAAAGGGGGTCAACAGGCATATATGGCAGTCCCATGGAGTGTCTGGGATATATTTCAAGTTGACACTCATGTCTTGCGTGGTGCATTGACAAGATCGTATAGACACTAAACTGGCCAAGACCAAGAATCGTAGACCAAGATGTTCTTCTCAGTCTTCTTGTCCAATCCTTGGATGTGCTGAAAGCAAAATCGCTGCCGAGAGCTGCCCAAAATAACAAAATATGCCTGCACGTCTTAGATGGGATTCGCTTCAATCATTCTTGGGTGTCACTATACCGGAACATGATACTACAAGATCTTACAAGTAAAATCAATTAAAGATCTCCCCAAGCAACCCCTCCCAACTCCCAACTCGCCTACCCCCTCAACCCGCTCTACTACTACCCATCCTACCCATCACCTCCACGCGGCCATAGGCGATGGCCGCCGCGGTCGGCTCGTTGATGATGCGCAAGACATTCCTTTTCGACCCGACCGTCCGTGGGGGCCGATGGATCGGACCAACACGTGGAGCAAGTCCAGACCTATGGGTGAAAGTCTAAGGCAGCCAGGTAGACCAACCGGTTGGTGGGAGTTGAGCATCACCTTGCAGGTCTAACACATCAGGTGAGGATGTGGGACTCTGGTCCCTGCATGGTTTTTGGAAGAATCTGCTGGCTGAGTTCAGCTAGCTGTCAATTGGGGATTCCAGGATTCCTGGTTGTTTTCTTTGTTGCTCAAACAAGTGGACTTGTCATGACTTGTCAAACTGGTGATCAATCCAGCAATCAACATGATTGCTGATTGCTTCACCGCTGCAACATAATATTGAATGAATAAACGAACGAACGAACGAACGAACGAATGAATCTGGCCATCTGCACGCACAAAATCCAGGCAATGTGGAACACCTATGTAGTCCTTGCAACCAGCAAGTGTCTACTAGTGTCTACTTGTACTGGCAGGGAGAAAGCTTACGTGATATGTTTTTAATATGTGTGAATTCATGATAGATCATTGATACAAACTACAAAGGGTCTAATGAGGGATGGTCAGCATCAGTTGCTTCAATCAAGGACATGACATCGTCGGGCATGAGTTTCCCTGATCCATCTCCAACACTCCTAACACAAATTTTGGCAATTGCCCACATGTCACATGGGTGTGATGACACCCAAGCACTCTACAAATGAATGAAGCCGTGGATGAACTGAGTGATGTAATGATATGTAAATGATGTTCAATTCCATGCTCTTGTGATCTCTTGTGCTTCTCACAAATTCTCACATACCCCCTACTGTTCGGGGTGTCTATCAATAGCCCTGACAAGAGAGGAGTCCGGGTGTCAATGAACCACCCCGACTGTGTGTCTGTGTCCTGGTATACCATGCAAAAACCCCTAGAAGCCCAAAGACATCAAAGACTATATTTTGACCGACTGATGTAAAGGATATTCCTTTTCGGGTCACCTAAAGACCATTCTTTTTATAGTCTTTGACTCCCCGGGAAACTACAGGTTCGAAGCCTGCTTGTAAGCTTGTAAAGCAGTGACTTCCAGTGCAGTGGCAAGGCTCATGCCGGAAATGGTTCCAGCATCCTTGGTCGACTGTCGCTGCGCATCGTTGAAGTATGCCTCGACAGGGCGTCGACTCGTCGACGACACTCGCTCGGCCGCCAAGCGACGGTTGGTCCACGCTGCCGAATGAAGAACCATGGTGAAGACAAGAATCCAACACTGCACAAGGGGTGGCCGTTCAACTGCGAATTGGTGGCCGTTCAACTGTGAATTGTACCCAAAATTTTTCAGAGTCTTTGTCCAGAGCAGGTCTACATTCCAGCTCTCCTTCTACCATCCAGTTTTTCCGAAACCAAGAAGAACAAAGGCCTGGACCCGCTAAGGGGTGTCTATTGATAGCTCCTTAGAGGTTCAGGGGTGTGCATGAACCACCCCTGTTTCAGGGTGCTCCCGGGAGCTGTCTCCTCACACTCAGTCTCGCGCGTTTCAGGCCAGGCACCGGCACGGTCACCACGGCATGCTTCACTTCCTTGCCCAAGTAGTTCTCGGCGGTCTCCTTCATCTTCGTCAAAACCATGGACGACACCTCCTCAGGAGCCATCACCTCGTCCGCGGCGTCCGCGGCGTCCGCCGCACGAAGGTTCGCGAAGGGAGCTGACATGCGGTCGTCTCAGACCCTGACCCATGGTGTAGACGGAGAGAGGTTCTGAGTACTTAGTGGCAACAAGTAGTAGTAGTAGTAGTAGTAGTAGTAGTAGTAGTAGTAGTAGTAGTAGTAGTAGTAGTAGTAGTAGTAGTAGTAGTAGTAGTAGTAGTA